CCCCCATCTGTGCAATCACATTACATGACAAAGCGGGGCCTCCTGCATACAAACAGTGTAGTCAGTTTCTACTTCAGTATCGCTTGGCTCACATCAGTACCATTGCGAAATATACATGCAAGGAGATAAATGTATTACAGCAACCAAGGCTCAGTAATTCTGGTCGATCATCAGTACAGTTTTACCATGTGTAAGCAAGGAAGGTAAACATATGAACAGTAACTGAAAGACAATGGAGAACTGAAAAGTAACTAAAGATTATAAAGTAGCTAGGGCCTATAAGAATCAAGTCTTGCACTATTCTCCATTTAGTGTGAACCGGAGCCTCCTTGTCTGGGTATAGGTGTGTGTGTGTGTGTGTGTGTGTGTGTGTGTGTGTGTGTGTGTGTGTGTGTGTGTGTGTTTGAGACAATAAGCTGGCCAAGTGGTCGTCTTCAGGTGATACAACCCTCTGTGTGTGCAAGATACCCCCTGGTGGGGCAGAACTTGGGATATGCTTAGTGTGTCCAGGTGTGGACTAGTGGGGCTTTGTTGAGATGTAAATAGGTCGTCTGGTTGCCTGGGAGATGCAGACATTCAAAGGTTATAGAAAGTAAGCAGATTCTACCTCATTCAAATTGTAAGACATATAAGCAAGGAGAATGAATGTATTAGAAAATAACCAGGGCTCAGTAATGCACAATAATCAATACAGCTGTAGTCAGATAAGATAAAATTATGAAAGGTAACTAAAGGGAACTGAAGGCATGAGAAGTAACTAAAACTGATAAAGTAACTAGAGTCTATAAGACTCAAATCTTACAATTCTTTCTTCTTTGTCCACTGTGGAGGCAACACAAACAATGACTGGAGAGTTTGAGCTTGCAGAATGCAACAAGTGTGAAGACATTTGCCCTGTGGTATTCAGTCTATGATGAACTTTAAATGATACATCACACGGTATTGATCACATAAGCTGATTACAAGTAAATAAAATCAATCAATCCCTCCTGCATTTACAAAAGCCAATGCAAACATATCCTTATCCTTAGCTCAAGAGAGTAAAAATAAGTCTTCAGCTCTTTGTGCACCCCCAGGGAGAGGTTAAGACAGCAGCATGCATGGGGGTAGGAATCCACCTCCCTGACATGGGGAAGAAGCATTAGTCATCAGTTCCCTTTGTTGAAATAAAACAAAGCATCGTCCAAACAGAAGGATGTGAGGGGTACTGTTTTGGCGTGTTCATATAACAAGTTAGCCTGGAAGTATACGGCGAGCACTTTGTAACAAAGAATTTCTGGAGCATTAGGGTGAAGTGGCAATGACTCTAAGTCTAAATGTTCTGGAAATGTCTACAGCTGCTGTAAATACAATTGCAGTTCTTTTAAAATGCAGTGAAACATGGCGAGTGTCAGTGACTGGGTAGAAATGTCAGGAAAAGCAGAGCAGAGCAGGTAGAATTCCCCATTAGAACCTGCAGCTTTCTAAACTTTGACAGATCTAAAAAAAACTTTATTCACCTCCTTCTCTGTCACTTGCAATGAACTGTCAAAGATTTTTTTTCAGCTAAATATAGCATACAGGAAAACTTAAGTTATTAAAGAGATAACCTGACATTTTTAGAAACACTATTGTTTTCTTTCCAAAAGTTAGATGAGAAGACTGTAAGATTTGAGTCTTATAGACTCTAGTTACTTTATCAGCTTTAGTTACTTCTCACACCTTTAGTTCCCTTTAGTTACCTTTCATACCTTTATCTTGTTTATGCATATTACAGCTGTATTTATGATTGTCCAGAACTACTGAGCTTTGGCTATTCTTAATACATTTATATTCCTTGCTTATACATCTTTCAATTGTATTGATGAGAATCAAGTAGAATCTGCCCACTTTGAATGCTGTAACTTCTGTGTAGAGACTAGATGTCTGCATCTCTTTGAGACCAGACAGCCTATTTACATTTTAGCAAAGGCCTGTTTTACAATCACACCTTGACCCACTTAGCATATTCCAAGCTTTGCTTTGTCTTGGGATGCCCTGCAGAGGCCGGGGGCTCACCACCTGAGACACACACACACACACACACACACACCTAGTGTAGATCACCTTCCAGCAAGGAGGTGTGAGCTCCTGCTCACACCAAATGACCAATAGGATTACAATGCATGAATCGTTGTACCTTTGTTGAGTGCAGAGCAGCCCAAGAAAATAAAATGTGTTGTAAGACCTTAATTCGAGGTCAGTGGATGGAACTCCTGCGGGAGCGCTGTCTCTATGATCCCCGCACTGCAAGGCCTACCTGTGATCAAACATGCAATAAACTTTCCGCTGATTTTAAACAGTCCTCTCCTGTCGTCACTTCTCGTGCTTCCAACAAAAGAATTGGGTTAATTTCTAACAAAGAGGTTAGATTCTAACAAGACAATGCTCTCATTTCAGCTACAGCAAAGAGATGATTAGCTTACAAACAAGAAATTATCTTTAGAAGTGCTGGCTTTGAATTTGTCACCTTTAGATAGACCCAGCTTTCGGCTTTGTGTGTGTTTTCAGTCTTTACGATAAGCTAAGCTAAGTTAAGCTAAGCTAGCTATCTGCTGGCTTCGACTCCAGTGTTTTTGTGCAGATATGAGAATGGTACAGGTATTTTTATATAAATCTTGTCAGTAATGTAAATACATGTGTTTATGAAATTGGCATTTAAAAGCAAAATGTTCTGAAGAAATATTTTCAAGCACTGGCAGGTGTGTTACTGGAAGACCAGCACCATTCACTGTGGCCAGGCTAAGAGGCTCAGCTCAGCGTGCAAATGACGCCATCGTTGGGATCACAGAAACACCATTATCAGTTTGCACTGACATCACTAACCCCCCACATTCCACACACACACACCACCACCACCCGCCTTCTGCAGCACAGTCATTGTGTTCATCGGTCAGCCCATTGTCTGTGTGGGGATATGTGGACGGTGTCGCCAATCTCTGTCCAAACCATGACCCAACACTGCTACTGTGGCTCATCTTTTTCCTACTGACCTAGACAAGATGGTGTTCCTGTGTGATGAGACTGGGGGAGCAGGGGTCCACTGTTCTGCCTGGCACTGGGTTAGACAGCGTGATTATTGATCTGTAACACCAGTACAGCCACTGTGGTGATCATGAGCAGACACAACACCCTGCCAGGATGTCAGCATCATCATCACTTTTCTGCTTAAAGTGAGTTGCGACCAGTGGAAGACCCAGCTTCTCCATGTTTTGGTTCTTTTTCTGCCTCAGCTTGAAGTCAGGATATTTCTGCCATAAGAACTGGAAAATGTTCTTTGAAATGGGATTATTTTTTGAGAGCCAATATTTGTTCTACAAAATGAAACAGCTGTGGGATCTTTCAGTTTTACTACTGTAATACGTTGTCTGATGTGATGCAAATGGATGGACAGTAACACATGATGGTCATTTAACACCATGTGAGTAACTGTTTCAACCGCTTTTAAGATGAAGCACAGGATGTTTCTACTAATAATGCAGTAAGCATTGTTGCGGTAAAGAGAAAAATAACAAAAAATGATCTTTGTAATGATTATCCTATTGAGCTGCCAAGTCTGAGATGCATACCTTCTACTACACCATGCATCGGTCTCCAAGCCTCTACATGGACCCCACCCTGATGCAGCAACATGTCCTGGAAGACCAGGTGGAGCTGTGGTGGTTCCGAGAGCCACGCCACTCCCTGTTGTGCTACTGTGCATCAGTGGCCCTCATAGTGGGGCTGGGCCTTGGTGGTGTGGGCCTCCTCTCCACAACCACCAGCCTGTCTGGAGAGTGGCGCCTCGGGGTGGGCACCACACTCTGCCTCTTAGCCCTCGCTGTTCTGCTCAAGCAACTCCTCAGCTCTGCCATCCAGGACATGAACTGTGTGCACAGCCGGCGTTGGATCGACCAGCTGAAGAGCGGAGGAAGAGCTGACCCAGCACTGATCCTGGCTGTGGGGTTGGCTGTGATGCTCTGTGGGACAGTGCTTGTCTGTGTATCCACAGTCAGCAGTCACAGTCACAACAGCAGAGAGATGTTAGTGTCTGGTCTGGTGCTGATGGCTGCTGGGACAGGCATGGCTCTGGCTGTCGTGGGCTACAACGTGCTCATCTACCTTCAGAGAAGAAGGCAGAGGAGGAGGAGGAGGAGGAGGATGAGAATGATCAGAGCGAGGAGGCTGGGGAGTCAAGCTGTCCAGGTGTTCAGTGTCTCAGGAGGGCAGATGAGCCAGGCCAGGAGAGAGACATCTTCCAGCAGGACCAGTCTGATTTGAAGGACTAAATGGGCAAAATCACTCAGAGAAAAAGGAGATGAAATTTGTCAAGTAAATACACAAAATAAAGGAAAAAAGTGGGGTAAAAAACTCAATTTTAAACTTCACAACTCTTTTTCATGTCTTTGTCATGCCATTATCACAAAACTGACTACAACTGAACATCGTCAAACATTTACCTTTGATGCACAATTTTTAACACACTGCAGAGGTTTGCTGAAAATAAACTCAGCAAGTGTGTGTGTCAAACCAAAACATGACTGTTTTGGATGTGTTTTGGATGTTCTGTAGCACTTAAAGAATAATAACTGTGCACATAACAGTAGCATATTTGACAGTAGAATGACTAAAATGTTGTTTTCTGTCATACATGAGCAAGTTCCTGCATCTCATACATGTAAAACAACTTTCTGCAGGTTCAGACAGTTAAGATGATGGCGTGTCATGTTATTTCACCTCCCTGTTGTTCATTCACAGCCAAAAAGCAATAATTAACAAACCACATAACTTGAATGATTATGTTTTACTTGATCAAGTGACTGGCAGACAACATTAACATTTTTCATTAGCAGAGTAAGAACAGTGCCATTTTAAGTGTTTAGTGCAGTTCAACTTATAAATGAGTATATACAAAAAATATAAAAGGAGACACAAGAGGTTATTTGACAGGCAACATTTTGACTTAACAGATCTTTGAGAAAATAGTTACAGCAACAAAGGGCATTTGACCTTAGCAAGGTGAAGTCGGTTTTAGTACTGTATGCAGTCATGTTGGCCATTTGTCTAATGAAGACCCACTACGGTCAAAAACATTGGCTGCCTCAGTACAGTAAAGTTTTAGGGGTTGAACTCCAAAGAGAAGATAATCTCTACTTTGTCCTTCACAACCATTGTACTCAAGGAAATGATTACTTTATCATATTATACTATTTAAATTTGCCCAATTTGGACGTAGACTCAATGATTCAACCACAAGTCCCTCATCCAATAATCTTAAAGGATGTAAAATAGGAAAAAAAGAAAAAATGTTTTATTTTAAATTTCTGTTATTTCCTAATAATTTCTTGAACATTTCCTGGAAAGAGCCATGTTGTTTGATAATAATTAGAGAAAAATAAGAAAGAAAACTGTGAAGCAGTTTTCTTTAGTTAGTCAACTGAGTTGTGTTGAATTTATTACCGGGTTCTAGAAAATTCTTTGCATTCAAAAAATTGCACAATTGAAACCCCATTATTTGCCATTAATTTATTAATTAAAATGTTGTTGAATGGTTGTTTGTAGACAAATTTCACACTTTGTATTTATAATTAGTATCAAAATACTGTATGCAGTTCTTTCTAGGAAACGTCTTGTGAAATTGTTTGGAAATCAACTGGAATTTTCAGACCTGTAAAATAAAGTGTTACAGAAAAAACCCACAGTTCTGATAAATACGTTTGTTCTTTTTTTCTTTATACCTTCCTATTTTTTGTGATATTTATAGTTTTGCCTGTTTTGGCCAATAACAACCTTTACTGTAAAATGAATATGAGGCATTTCAAGGAGAACTTATCTCTCACTGACAAATTGATTTTAAACTGCTACAAGCCAAAAAATCAGCTTTAAATTGTCAGTCTAGATCTCTCCTAGAGTGTCATTTCATCTTAAATGCAAAGCAGTTGTTTCTGATAACGTCTCCCTTTATCTAATCATGCTATAGTGAACTGAAGATCATCGTCGCTGTCGTCCATCTCTTCCTCCTCCTGTAATTCTCTTGCTGCCTTCTCTTTCTCGCTGGTCTGGATGTAGTTGTCCTCAATGAAGCCATCATCATCTTCCTCCAGCCTACTCACAGTCCCTCCTGTGACTCCCATTCTACCTGACACATTGCTAGGGTAGGACGTCTCCTCTTGACCATACTGGCTGACCCCATCGGACTCTTGGAGCAGGGAGTGTCTGTAGCTGGCCAGGAAGCGATGAAAGAGGCGAAATTTGATTGCCATCACAATGAGGGCTGAGATAGCGAGGATGGTGCCCAGTCCCGCAAACAGGTAGGACCACGGCATTGACTTTGGGATCTCGTCTGGATTGGCTGCCCCTGGGAAAACCACAGGAAGACATTTTACTGCATCTTCATGTGACTATAAAGACAGTGAAGTCAGCATTTGAAATGTTTCCTGTAAATGAAGTGTTATAAAGTTCAAAGTTCTTCAAACACATATGACTGTAAATAGTTAGGTGGTGGTAAAATACCCTGCAGAGTGGTCCTTTGGTTACTTACTTCCATTGACACTAGCATTACTGCTGGTGTAATCTCCCATTAGATGTCTCTGAGAGCCTTTGTATCTCTCATCGTATGTAATAGCAGGATGTGCTGCTGTGATAAATGCTTCACAAAGAGAAAATGCCACAACGATACTGCAGCTCCACCAACCCATCTCTCTGTCTGGTGGAAAAACCTAAAGAAATACAATCATCGATCATGATTACATTTACTGAGATCATGAAAAATAAAGTGTGTTACTGTCCCTCAGCCATATAGTTTATCAAGTTTGTTTCAAGGATGACTTACAGTAAAGCAAAATGTGAACCTATCCTTTTTGTAATGTGTGGCTGATGAGACATGCTGAGACATGCAGTACATTAAAGATGACATACTACTGTGTTTCATATTTTATAGCCAGTCAGCTATTAACCCATGTCTTATGACTTCCAATAGGCTTGAAACAAACACTGATATTTTAGAGGGTTGACTTTATATGACTACTCAAAGTATGATTAAAATTGACTGGACAAATAAAGACTGATTATGATGTTTACAGTAATATGGGTGCAAATTCCACTTTAGTGTCTATACATTTCAACTGTGATGAAATACAATGAAATTTTGTTTTATTATTCAAGTATATTGAACAAAAAGATTAGACTTTAGGTATTACTCTCATTTGCATTATGATGATGACCATAAAGCTTGGTTTTGGATTTTTCTCCAGTGGTAAAATGTAACAAATTACATCTAGCAAAGTCTTACACTTTGTGGAATTACACAACGGGAGTATTTACTAGTAAATGTGCATATCACAATTTTACATTTAAACCATATCATGTTGTGGAATTACACAATGGGAGTATTTACTAGTAATTGTGCATGTCACAATTTTACATTTAAACCATATCATAAGCTTATAGAATATGAATTTTCAGTGTACAAAATCAGCTTCTTGAGTATTTTCAGCCTATTTTTAAAAAGTGACCAAATCTGACAGTGCTGTAGGAATATTCAAGCCTAGATAGATAGATAGATAGATAGATAGATAGATAGATAGATAGATAGATAGATATCTAATTATCTGAAAATCAAGTCAGCTGTTAATATTTTGTTTATCTGGTGATGCACACACTCCGGCACAAAAGTCATATGACTACAACAGACTCAAAATTATGTCGCATACAGTACATTACCCTGGAACTCATAACAACACAACTGTCCACTTACACAATTTACAGAAACACAAAAATCATATAAAGTGACTTACCTGTCGAAACTAGGATAAATGATTGAGCAAGTGTTCGTCTCCTAGTCCTGACTTTTAACTGGTGTTTTAGACTTCCTTGTCAGCCACCAAGGAAAAAAACTAAAGACATACTGGGCAAAGGTTAGTTGACATGCCATAATGTCACCCTTCTTGCACCATGCCCTTAAGACAATGACGTTAATAAGTAACTTTATTAGGTTGACCATTTGTTTTATTGTAAATACTTTCAGTGGTTTCAGATCCCTTCACGTTTTGCACACATTACTGTGTTGTAGATTTCATTTTAAACAGCTAAAACTGCCAAATAAAGGTGTTTACACTCTTAAAGGAGACAGGACGGCTGATTTCTTCTTTCTCTCTCTCTCTCTTCCACCTGTATTATGTAGAAAAGAATACAAAGCATAAGACAAAACAGAGCAACACTGAAACAAAAGAGAGAATCAGAATCACTTTTACTGGACAAGTAGTTAAACACATAAAGTATCTGACTGATACAGAAGCTCTCAGTATGTTTGTAAGGCAACAGGAAATAAAAAAAAGAAATTAACAAGCATAAATATAAAAATGTGTTCATTCAAAATAGGAAGTATGTGCAATTAAAAAGTGTTTATAAAAAAGACACAATCAATTTATAAATATATACATTTATATATACACATTGTGGCAGAAGAGCTTCAGATTGATAAATGTAGCAGGTATAGTTGGAATTTATTTATTTTACACTTTAACAAGGGAAGTCAGACCTTGTTAGAGTTCATCCCACAGCAGGAGAATGATCAAAAAACCTCCTTGCTGTGTAGAAGAAAAGAACAAGACTACAGGTTTCAACTGATGGGGTGTCCAGCAGAGTGTCCACACATTCCAGCAAAAGAGTGAAAGCAAGGCAACACATTTGTGGGAATGTATACAAAAGCGCTGTCTATCCTAACACTATCTGATTTCAGTTGTAGAAAGATGCCACAAATGTGTTCGATGATGAATTACACTAATAAACACCTGGGAAAATGGAGGTGACCCCAAACTTTGGACTGCTAGTGTATATATATATTGTGTTTTTGGATTTTAGAGAATATCAGTGAAGCAAAGACTGCAGCTTTACATTCACTCCTAAAAACTCAGTTGTTTTGCTTGGACGAATTGACACTAAATCATTAAGTGGTGAACGGAGAGCAAGTTGAAAAGCACTGGGATGATCCCAGGTGGACTCTGTCTCAGCTATTATTAATGCACATTTGACTGCAATCTCTCTAAAATAAATCATGCAACTGATGCTAAAATTCAGCATAAAGAAAGTTATGAACAAGACTGTCCAGTGCTTATTGCAATTATCAAAGCAGGTGTGTTGTGACTGGCATCCTTTTTACTGAAACAAGACTCCCACCCTCTGCTTGAAAAGCTGAAGAACCCCGAGCCAGTGAGAGATCTGACCTCTCTGACCTGAAGTCTCACTAACTCATCTAATCTCTTCTACTGGCATAGCAGCTTTAAATCAAAGGGGAAAAGAAATTGCCAGAGAAAGGCTTCGGCTGAGTATTTTAATACAGACACAACAAACATCAACCAAAAAAAGAAAAGCTTTAGATTGTTAGGTTATTTCTTAGTTAGATAGATGTGGATAGAGATTTGTTGTCTAGGAATGTTTAGTGCAGACAGGGTGACTAGTTTGCTGTAACTATTCAGCCTGCAGGGATTGCAGGCACGCCAAGGTTACAGGAAAAGAGCTTTTAGGGTCAACTGTAATGCTAGTCTTAATATTTGTCTTAATGTGTAAGGTTATGTCCAATTGTTTTAGATACACACCACGAAAACAACAGTCACGCACCTTGACTTTTCCTCATGTTTTGGCTAAACGATAGAGCAGCTGCAAAGCTTGCTTATCGGGTGGCGTCACGGTTTGACGCCCCTTGTAGCATGGGCTAGCCCAAAAATGATTAATATTATATAGGTTGTTGGGTCCAGACTTTCTCAGCTTTCTGCTGCCTGCGCGCAGGTAGAAGGGTGAGAGAGCTCTGGACGTGTACTGTGAATTTTACCTGTGATCCTCTGAATAAACCAGCACGGTTATTTTTTATAAAATCTAAAGCAGTCTCTTTCGTCTCATTGAGAGTTCCTGGTTTGAAAGAACCGGAAGAAGCTACACAGAAATAATAGCTTATAAGATAAACTACTAAAAGAAAAAAGTGCCAGAAATGTCTTAGAGCTGACAATGAAATAGTCACCCTTTCAGTCTTAGCTATTGTAGTTTTTAGGATTCAATCGCCATTAGTTTATCATGTTCTTTAATAGATATCATATAAAGCCTGTGTGTAGTGTCAGGAAGGGCATCTGGCGTAAAACCGTGCCAAATTACTCATGCGACTTGGATTTGCTATGGCGACCCCTGACGGGAGCAGCCTAGAGTAGTAGTAGTAGATACAGCATGTGTGTAGTATGTGTTTTAAATCCCATTTGACAGCACATCACAATGTAAATGCTATGATTTACTGATGCTCTTTCAAGAACTGTATGAATAAACCACATTTATAGAATCTATTTTCAAAACGCTGCCATCCAATGTATTGTGATATCATATGCAAAATATTCCACCCTTAGTCTTGTTTGCCTCTTTTATTCTTTGAAATGTACAGCGCATGGATGCTACAGTAGAGTACACTGCAGACCTTTGAGCCGACATGTACAAATGAGAAACTGAATTCATCCACATGTGGATGAGTAAAAAACAAACTTCATTCCTCCAAACATTTGACAAACATGACAAATAGAAAGTTTATAATATTTTATGAGGTAACTTTTTTACACATATTTATAAACATAGTGTTACATAAGGAGCTTTCTGTTTTATATTAAAGAGTTCATTTTTGCAGCACAGAGGAAAAACACAAGTGCTGACAAAATATAAAATTGATGTCATTTTCCATAAACAACACAAGCTAAATTGAATCACGAACACTAGACGTGACAATTTGCATTCATTTAGGAATACTTTAGCTACTCTTCTGAGTTAAATAACAACAAAAAACAAGGGCACTTGAAAGTTTAAAGACTGAACTGAGTATCCAGTTGATACAGAGCATAGTGTGTCGGCGGGTCCACAGAAATGCAGTTACTATATCCAGTCTGGGCTTTTCAGACAAAAGCTAAAAGGTGGACAAACCATGTAAGTTGTGCAGTGTCATACCGCCATTTAATATGTCAGGTGTTTTGATGTGAAATAGTCATGATCAAGATTGGTTGGTTAATCTCTGAACAAAAGAAACTGACAAAATGTCCTTTAGCTCAATGGCACAGTGATCAGAAAGCCTTGTGTTTGTCCTAATAACCTTTACTGTATACACCACCATACCAGCACAGGCTGGTACTATCCATTGTGCTATTAAGGAGCAGCAGTTATAATATGTATAACCTGGTTTGGTTTTTAGAGGGAATGAAGCTGCATGAGAGCCTGAGTGTTCTTTATAACAATGATCAAATCTATTCTCACTTACACCTGGACCACAGTGTCCACACAGAAGAGTCTCAGTGAGGCATGACTGTTCTGTGTACACTATCAGACCCAGCGAGTACTTAAAATATTTGTACTTAAAGAAAAAAAAAGTTCTCAGTGTCTACCTGCTACTTTATTAATTGGTCACTTTAAAAGTTGAGTTTTGGTTAGTTTAGGTAACTAAAACCAAAATGAGGCACAGCGTAAAGCGGCGACCACATCACGTTTGCCCATGCAAAATGGATGGGGCCTATCATGACTCCATACAAGGCTAGTTTGGGAACTGCTATAGTAAATGGTTCCCAGAGCTTCTATCTTCCTGTTTTCTCTGGTTCTCTTCACTTTCCCCAGATGTTCTGTGACACACCATGTTACTGCTCAGCCAGTATGGGGGTAAAATTCTATCACTACTAGCCACACAAGCATATTCAGCGATTTACTCATACAGTCAACATTACATATGTGTAAAACCGATTTGTGTGTCTCATGAAGGCCACAGACGCATTTGTCGATCTACCGATAAAATCAAATCACGATTTACAAATGTGTGTGTGCAGCTCTTTAAGATGGCATATTCATTGGCTTGTTAGCTTAACTTGTTCATTAATGAGTCACTAACAAACTAAGCTAAACTACGTTCACTCAGTGTTTACTCCAACAGAGGATGTAATAAAAACTGATGGTGTAACACAGCTCATAAATTACAAGGGCATTCATTTTGGATTCTAGTTCTCCCCTCAAAGGTCAGCACTGATACGCCTAGCTATCGGTCAACAGTGTGAATTCCACTAAAGTTGAGCTCAACATGAAACATTTGTAAAGAAACACACTGTACACAGGGTGAATCGTCCCCACAAACCCCTCAGTCCCTGAGTAAATTATAGCAGATGTACAGTAAGTACAAAGGGTGCACCCTGAAGCTCAGCTGTTGTCTTGGTGTATCTACTGTAAGTCTTTTCCTTTTGCCATCTGCCTCATCTCCAGCATTTTTCCTAGATGCAGATGAAACCGTACAAACCCCTTCACTTTTTGCTCACTTTATTGTGTTGCAGATTTTTGTTTTCACTTGATCATTTTTGCCCATCAGTCTAGACTCATAACACTTAAAGACAAAGTGAAAATGTGTTTTTAGAGATGTTTACAAATGTATTAAAAGTCAAAACATGAAATCTGTTTTGTGCAAAGGTTTTCAGATGTTTGCTGTGGCAGTCCGAACCAAACTGGACTTAGTTTAGAATGGCCCACACCTGTGTATACAAGGTCTTACAACGTCAAGTCCAAGAACTCTGTGGACCTCCATGATGGATAGATGCAATGCAGATCAGGGCAAGGGAAAAAACATTTCTACACCTTTGAGTGTTGAGCAGCATAGACCAGGACTCCTCTGTTGACTAAACTGAGTCAACCAACAAGAAGGACCTTAAGCCCCTTTTTCAGTTAACTCAGCTCTACTCTCTTTTGGTAACAGGTGCTTGGTTTTCCACCTCAGATGGTCTCCTCTCACTGTAGCTGGTTGTCATAGTGGCACTGCATTACACTGCTGTGATGTCGTCAGCAACTGACACAGTAACATTGAGGCCATTGAAGGCAGGCTGCTTCTGATTCTTGGTATGTGGCTGTTAGTACAATAACTACAATAAAGTATTGGTTAGCGTTAAATAACATTGCTTTTTAAAATGTCACTTTCTTTGTTCCAGGACGTCTCGCATATTGATGACGCAATCCCTCTGACCAGTCTCTAGTCTGCAGTGTTTACATGTCACAGTTTGGTATTGCCTCTGCTCGCTTGGAACCTCAACAGGAGTGATACCGAAAACAGCAGCAGGTACTCGGGGGCTGGCCCCAACATTTGACTGATGGAAACACAAATAAGGCGAGTCGAGATGAGTTGAGTTGGTACCAGGTGGTGGAAAAGGGGCTTTAGTCAGGGAGGTGACCAAGAACCCAACGGTCACTCTAGGAGAGCTTCAGAAGTTCTCTGCAGAGATGGTAGAACAGCAGAACTCCATCAATCAGGCCTCTGTGGTAGGGTGACTAGACAGAAGCCACTGTGACTAAAAGGCTCATCCTATATGAGCATGAGGAAAAACATTCTCTGGTCTGATGAGGCATAAACTGTGCTCTTTGAGCAGAACTCCAGACAATATGCCTGGTATGCTGTAGCCACTGTTCATCACCTGCTAATACTCATCCCATGATGATACATGGTGGTCACAGTATCATGATATTAGGTGGGGGGGTCCCTATTCTCAGCAATAGGGACATGGACACTGGTCAGAACTGAGGGAACAATGAATGCGGCCAAATACAGTCCATACTTATAAATGTTTTCCCTGTTAAAGTTAAATTTATGGATTTATTTATATCTTAAGGAGTTTTTCCTCATCCAGTTTAAGGATTTAAGGACAGAGGTTGTTGTGGTGTTGTATGCTGTACAGACTGTAAAACCCCTAAAATTTAGATTTTGATAATGATCTAAACAAATAAAACTTGCCATGACACAACTTTGCCATTAGGATTTACTAAGTGTAGACTGATGAGCAAAAATGGCAATATTAGCCATTTCAAATTAAATTTACAACACTAAAGTGTGCGACAAGGGAAGGGGGTCTGAATACTTTCTGTATGCACTTTCTTTCAAAAAGATAGGGGATAATTAGTTTCAAGTCATTCACACTTGGTTGCTGCTGCTCATTTCTAAAACACTTAATTATGAGGAGAGAGATTCAGTGCATGAAAGAACTTCATCAAGGCATGAGTTAGAACCCTCATACTGTCTGAGAACTTTTTCACAGATCATTAGTGTCACTCATCATTTATTCCGTTCAAGCACCACCAGACTACTGCACACCGCATTATGTCAGCTGCTGTTTCTCTGCCATGGTCATCCACTGACAGCACAGGCTGCCTCCAGATTCACTGGTTCTCCTGACCTCTGGACTGCTAGTCCTATTTTAAATGAGAAGTCTATGGACTTTCCACTTCCACACCAGTGACAGTAGCTGTGAAGCAGCGTTGAAACAGGCGCTCTGGGTCCTGCGGCTGGTTATCACAGTCCAGCTTCCTGCTCATGAAGTGTTTTCTGAGTCCTGGTGGGCCACAGGCACAAGCCGCTCTTGCATGGCTGGATCCCTCACTAGAATCTCCTGCTGGAAAGTACATCTGATCAGTTAAAGCTTGAAAATGCTGTTGATTGCAATGACTGTCCCATAAGTGAAGGATTTCAGGAACAGCGTAGGAGAGTCTACACATACACTCACCTGGCGTTCTGAGGGGTAGGCCATTATCAAGGCGACTGGGTTTGGTTGCGATGAAGAGGTAGCAGAGGACACAAACAGTGATGAGAAAGGCAAGGAGGACCACTGCTGCAATGGACAGACCAACCAGAGCTCCAACACTGAGAGGAGACGAGAGAGGGTTGGAGAGGACCGTAAGGAGATACATGTTGGTGTTGGGATGGAAAAAAGAATAGTAAAGGATGGAAGATAAAAACAGGATAAATAATGGGTAAGGTATGAACAACATATTCAACAAACAAACCTTTTAATCTACAGATGACACATGTTAAAATGTTTGTGCTCTACATGTAGTTGTACTGCAACAGTTTCACTGTGTTAATGATCTGGCTAAAAATAAATGTGGATATGAGTACAAGTACAAATGACTCCAATATTATGTCAGTGCTGAATCACAGCAAATCAGCACAAAGTTGCTCTGAGAGTTCCCAAACCGTTATCCTATGAGGAAATGTTCTGGTGGGAGTGGTCTCAACCAGGACAGTGTCCCCATCCACAGGACAGGAGAGGTCACTGAATGGTTTGAGTATGAAAATGATGTGAATACACAATCAGTTATTCAGAGCTGATTCCAGCAGATCTGTTGTGGATTTAAGGGTTCATTTTAAGTTGGTGTATCCATGAAAATACATTTGGATACCCGATCTCGTGCTTCCCAGCCTTGGCAGAAAAAATGTACATGCCCTTGGGAATGCGATAGGTGGTCTGAGCAGATAGTATCGCTATCCTCATTTCGGGTCAAAAGGAGCAGCAAAATTGGCCTCAGCTGCGCCTCTCCTCCCACCTCGGCGTAAAGCGCATTCATTCATGGCAAAAACACCAATTTTCAAATGAGTTACAAATACGTTCCCCCCCTTACCTCAGCCACCACATGTATCGGTACTCATATGGGAAAAAACTGTTTGGGTCATCACAGCAATATTTGACATCATTAAATCCGCAACAGTAGACGGCGGCGGCGGCATTTCCCGGTTTGGGGCAGGAGAAGCCGTCCATAAACACACTGTCAGCGCTGTAGTAACTGCTGCAAGTAGCGCTCATGCTGCGACAGTGAAGTGAAGAGCAAACCGAGTAAAACACTTAATGTCCGTGGATTAAAGTGAAGAAGAAGAGCGCAGCATCCTCAGCACAGAGTGGTGCGCGCTAGACTAATGGCACGGTGTGTTTCTCCATCAGCTGCGTTTCCCGGTAAATGAACATGCGGAGGGACGGAGATGGAAAACTTTGAATCTCAAAGCAACCGGAGCTCTGTCTCTCTTTCTCTCTCTCTCTCTCTCTCTCTCTATCTATCTATCTCTCCCTTTCTTTCTCTCTTTATCTCTCTCTCGCGCGCGCAGACACACGCATGGTCTTAGTCTATTTAATCTGCTGTATAATCTTATTTGGTGTTAATGGAATTGGCTTCCTCTTATTCTCCGTAATTTACTGTATACAACAATGGAGGGCTCACAGATTTACAATCTCTTCCCCAGAAATTATAGCCTTTCTAAAAGCACAGTTTTGCAATAATTACGTGAATTTCTCATTTAACAAAACCGTCAGCTTTATTGTATTTGATTTTAATAAAGGCAATGCCTCAGTGTCTCCTTCGTTATAGAGTGCAACACCGTGGCCACCTTTACCAGCTGCAACATTAAATGTGATGTACACAATAATCTATTTTTTATTTTATTTTTTTATTCTACTCTTTCATCTATGTTTGCTTTTAATGTTTTATCTATTTGTAAATGGTCTTATACTTCTATAGCACATTTCTGCACATTGAAGCTCATTCAAAGCACTTTACACTATTTCCTATTCACCCATTCACACACAAACACAAGGTGATATCAATGGGAGCAACGTGGGATTCAGTGTCTTAAAGACACATCAGCATGTGGACTGGAGAAGCCTGGGATCAAACCATCAGCCCTACAGTTAGGACGACTCGCTCTACCTCCTGAGCCACAACATACAGTGGGTATGGAAAGTATTCAGACCCCCTTAAATTTTTCACTCTTTGTTATATTGCAGCCATATGCTAAAATCATTTAAGTTCATTTTTTTCCTCATTAATGTCCACACAGCACCCCATATTGACAGAAAAACACAGAATTTTTGACATTTTTGCAGATTTATTAAAAAAGAAAAACTGAAATATCACATGGTCATAAGTATTCAGACCCTTTGCTGTGACACTCATATATTTAACTTAGGTGCTGTCCATTTCTTCTGATCATCCCAGAGATGGTTCTACACCTTCATTTGAGTCCAACTGTGTTTGATTATACTGATTGGATGTGATTAGGAAAGCCACACACCTGTCTATATAAGACCCTACAGCTCACAGTGCATGTCAGAGCAAATGAGAATCATGAGGTCAAAGGAACTGCCTGAAGAGCTCAGAGACAGAATTGTGGCAAGGCACAGATCTGGCCAAGGTTACAAAAAAATTTCTGCTGCACTTAAGGTTCCTAAGAGCACAGTGGCCTCCATAATCCTTAAATGGAAGACGTTTGGGACGACCAGAACCCTTCCTAGAGCTGGCCATCCGGCCAAACTGAGCTATCGGGGAACAAGAGCCTTAGTGAGAGAGGTACAGAAGAACCCAAAGATGACTGTAGCTGAGCTCCAGAGATGCAGTCCTTTCATGTGTCTTGCACTGAGGAGAGGCTTCCGTCGGGCCACTCTTCCATAAAGCCCCGACTGGTGGAGGGCTGCAGTGATGGTTGACTTTCTTTGACTTTCTACAACTTTCTCCCATCTCCTGACTGCATCTCTGGAGCTCAGCCACAGTCATCTTTGGGTTCTTCTGTACCTCTCTCACCAAGGCTCTTCTCCCCCGATAGCTCAGTTTGGTCGGACGGCCAGCTCTAGGAAGGGTTGTGGTCGTCCCAAACGTCTTCCATTTAAGGATTATGGAGGCCCCTGTGCTCTTAGGAACCTTAAGTGCAGCAGAAATTTTTTTTTGTAACCTTGGCCAGATCTGTGTCTTGCCACAATTCTGTCTCTGAGCTCTTCAGGCAGTTCCTTTGACCTCATGATTCTCATTTGCTCTGACATGCACTGTGAGCTGTAGGGTCTTATATAGACAGGTGTGTGGCTTTCCTAATCACGTCCAATCAGTATAATCAAACACAGCTGGCCTCAAATGAAGGTGTAGAACCATCTCAGGGATGATCAGCAGAAATGGACAGCACCTAAGTTAAATATGAGTGTCACAGCAAAGGGTCTGAATACTTATGACCATGTGATATTTCAGTTTTTCTTTTTTAATAAATCTGCAAAAATGTCAAAAATTCTGTGTTTTTCTGTCAATATGGGGTGCTGTGTGTACATTAATGAGGGGAAAAATGAACTTAAATGATTTTAGCATATGGCTGCAATATAACAAAGAGTGAAAAATTTAAGGGGGTCTGAATACTTTCCGTACCCACTGTAAGGACTATGAATTGCCTTTTTTATGAATATATAAACAAATGTTATATAAATAAAAAAAATTGCCTTGTCTATAGTGTGCTGTTATATAAGCTGTAGCTCCACCCTACTTCAACCTGAGCAGAAATCTAATTCTATTGAGCATCAGCACCAGTTCACTGGCATTCATTATGGTATAAGAAGAGCCTTTATATTTTGAGGAGGGTTCATGTAACTTGCTACACTGTGTCAAAGGTTATGGCATTAAATAGGATTTGGATCAGTAGAATTCATTACCTATATCCTAGCTGGGATGCATATCCCTTATTAAATATATTACCATATTTATTGTATCCTAAACACAGACCCAAGTTTTAAATGACTTCCAGCCTGGGTGGATAGAGGCTGGTTTCATTGTATGGAGTAACAGAGGCATTAGTAGGTTGAAAAATGTATTTTCTGATAATACACCAATGACATTTGAACAAGTGATGCTGTATTTGAACAAATACAGCATCCCCAGACAGGACTTCTTTCATTATTTGATAAGACATTGTCTGTTACATGATACAACATTAGGTGTTAACTCAGAAGCATCACCTGTTGAGAAATTATTTCAGACAGCTGGAAAGATGTCTATATATATGTTACATAGAGCCATGTATTCCTTGTCAGTTTACAGGGGCTGAGAGACACATTGGAGAAGGAGCTTTCTGTCATAATTGATGATGAGGATTGGGAAAATATCTTGAGATATGCTAAATCAGTATCAGTCTGTAACAGGTTTAAAGCAATACTTCTTAAAATTATACACAGGAGCCACATTTCCCCCAGCCGTAGACATAATTTTTATTCCAATCTTTCTCCCATGGGCCTTAAATGCAAGAAAGAAATTGGCACTCTTCTGCTCATCTTGCTGGTTACAAAAATACCGGTCTGATGTGCTCTCTAAAATACTGGGTATGAAGCTAGAAATGGACCCATTTCTCTTCTGCTGGTCTCCCAAGCAAATATGTAATATCAAAGAATAAGAGACTGTATTGTGTCCTTGCTTTTGCTACAAAGCAAAATATTTTGCTGCAGTGGACTAGTGAAAAAGGACCAACTGTTACAGGCTGGCAGAGAGGTCTATTGGACCTGGTACCAGTAGAATATCTTACATGTTTACTACACTCTACACCATTTTTTTTAAAGATTGAGAACTTGGCCATCACACTGCAGGGATTTTCCTAAATCATTCCACTGGACTGTGTAACTGTGTTGTGTGCACATGTTTGAGCCAGAGTTGTGAGTTTGGAGTTTTTGTTGTTTTCTCTTGTGCATTTGTTGTAAAACTTTGAAAAACCTAATAAATATATATTTTAAAAAGATTGTGGTATTAGCTGATACCTGATTAAATGTCCAGTCACAGGTTTCAGATATCCTTTGCAATTATAAATATTAAGTATTTTATTTCCAGGAATGAACCCTGTGCTGGTGTGAACATGGTCTACATAACTTAATAAACTTGTTATGAAGGATGGTGCTCAAACTAACATCTGGCAGGCGGAAAAACATGGGAAGATAGTCCTGTTACATAAGAGACAAAGGTTGTACTGTAGACAGTCATGTTTCATCTGAGGGGATTTCCTTACATTTAACATAGATCTCAGTTCACTGTTGTTTGAAGTAAAACTTTGAATCCCATTTGCATTAAGGTCTGAGCTTAATTATGTATAACTATCATGTCAGAGTAACTGTAAATACTGTAATGACTTGTAAATACATGTCAAATGTTAATTGCAACCGGGAAATGATTTTTCTCTTAAAGCTTTGATAAATCTGCCACCTATTACAGTACCTGAAAACACAAAGAGAAGACCTTGAGCGCAAACAGAAAGTCGGTGCTACTGTAAGATTTTTTATAAATTGATGTGATAACACTTATGTTGTATAATGCTTAGCTAGTAGGAGGAAATGTACTGTTCCTGTTTTGTCACTGTGTCACACCTATTCACGGGAGTCAACTGAAAGTAGTATGACACATGCTGAACACCTCAAAGGTGTGAACAGCCTTTTCTGTTGTTAAAGTGTAGTTAATTCAGCATGATGTTTCCTTGTAATCTGCCCTCCGTGCTGCACGTGTAAAAGTAGAGATGATTCATGACCCTGAGATGTTTTTTTTTTATTATTCTTTAGAGCCCTAGCAACTCTCAAACCTACAAGAAGAAGTCAGCGGACACCACAGGGTCCACACATGTACCCCTCCTAGTTAGATATTCTGTGAGCAGTGAAGGCAATAAAAAAACATCAGTCTCAGAGATGCAGAGCATTACAGGTAGTATCTTAATGTGATCTTAAAATGATAACAATATATTAAAAATCAAATATTACCAATGAAAATATTGTAATATTGCAAGTTTATCTACTTTAAACTTCTGATATGTCAGCAGTTGTTTTGTTGTTTGTGGCAAGCTCATTCATTCAGTGCTGGTAAAAACATTTGGTTTCTAAGGTTCTCCTCAGTGAAAAGCCTTGTGAAAGAAAGGGTGCTATTTAAATCATATTTCCAGTGTGAATGCCTTCTTAGGACTTAATCATAACTCTGCTGGTACACTGTGCTGTACAGTACCTGTAATGGAGCACAACTTTATCATGCCTCTTGGTACATGTAGTTTCATCTTAAACTTGGAAAGAGTTTGAACCCACTAGAGTTTGTGAAACTATCTGTGTGTGAATGGCCTTCAGGATAAACTGCAAATATAATGGTTGCTACCTTACCTACCTTAAAGCTGCACAAATATTTATTTTTTTTAATAACA